TCTGAATTTGAGCATAGTCTCCTGGTGAAATTGTTATGTAAATGTGTGTGTCATCCGCATAGCTGTGGTAACTTATTTTGTTGTTTTTCATTATCTGAGCCAGTGGTAGCATGAAGATGTTAAAGCCTGTTTTTCAGGTCTCAGGCTCGAAAAATGACATTCCCAGAACAAATGACCATATCTTCCCTTCTAAAAGGGTTAAATTAATAATCTTTTTTCTCAAAGTAATGATAAACCTGTGAGTTGGATGTAGAAAAGTCAGAATCAATATAGATGTTTTTTATTTTAAAATAAAATTCAGATTGAACATGGTAAAAAACTGAAAATGATAGTGTCCGTCCAAAAGATATGTTGTACTTATAGTGAAAACTAACCTTGGATGATGGGTTAGTAGACTAAAAGCTTTAGGAATCCAAAGTACAACATATAATAAGTACCCTGTATCAAGATTGATGCAAAACAAGTGATATTTGACCTTTTTAAGACAGATTTAGCAAAAAAAAACCTCTTCTGGAGCCATTTGGGTGGGTTTTCCATATCTCTGGCCCCCCTTGTTCGATTTTGACAAGTGACATCTCTTTCTGAACGTTAGAGCCAATAGAATCCAAGGGAAATCGTCCCGCACACACACTCATGTAAAAAAAAAAAAGGTAGCCTCTCTGCGCATGCTAGTTTACAGCAGAGGGGAGAAATATCGCTGCTCTGATATCAAGCAACGGAAAAGCTGTTTTATTGCTTATGGAGTATCAGAACATTTCAAAGGGGACACAGACACATTGGATTAACCTATGGATTAACTACACCATCGTTTTTATCATTGTAATGCCATTGAAGACCAGTTTAGACCAGACAAAGATGAAGGTAAGCCATGTTAGCGTTGTGGGCTACCTAGCGCCACTTGTTTTGATGTACGTTTTTGTTGATAACGTCGCAAGTTTGTATCTTTCAGTGTTGAGTTAACCCTCTCCTTGCGATCATAAACGATGTGTTGGATGTGCACCTAGGAATAGTAATAAGGGAGCTAGGAGTGATTATCGGTGCAGTAATAGGTTAGCATGTTTCGCTCAAGGGTCATTTAGATGCTTCTTATGAGACTTGTGTTTTGTTTTTGTAAAAATGGTTTGTATCGTCAGTTAGCTGAGATTATTCCCGTTAATCTGGTGTAACACATTAATAGGTTCTTAAATATTAAGAGCCCCTGAGACACAGTGTCGTGAAAAAAAAAACTAAGGTACCTGCCGGCGGGGACCTTCGGGCTTAACAGGTTAAACCCCATCCCCCCGCCACCGGGGGGAGAAACGCATCATCTGCAGGAAACAGCGTCTGAGGACTTCTTAATATTTAATAAACTATGAATGTTTCATATCCATATAACGGGAATAAACTCAGCTAACTTGATCTCTTTGCAAGAAAAAACACAAAGCTAACGCTGAGCCTCTGAATTAGCCCCGAGCGAAAAAATGCTAACACCGTTTGCACAGAAAACACGGTATAACACCCTTATTACTTATCGTAACTGCACATCCAACATATCGATTAGCATCGTGAGAATACACAGAATCGATAGGTCTATATACACTGAACAAAAATATAAACGCAACACTTTTGTTTTTGCTCCCATTTTTCATGAGATGAACTCAAAGATCTAAAACATTTTCTATATACACAAAATAACCATTTCTCTCAAATATTGTTCACAAATCTGAAAAAATCTGTGATAGTGAGCACTTCTCCTTTGCCGAGATAATCCATCCCACCTCACAGGTGTGGCATATCAAGATGCTGATTAGACAGCATGATTATTGCACAGGTGTGCCTTAGGCTGGTCACAATAAAAGGCCACTCTGAAACGTGCATTTTCGCTTTATTGGGGGGGTCTGGGGGGGTCCGAAAACCAGTCAGTATCTGGTGTGAGGTGTAGGGGTAGGGTTAGGGGTAGGGTTAGGGTAATGTTGTGAATCGAGTGGCCCATGGTGGTGGTGGGGTTATGGTATGGGCAGGCGTATGTTATGGACAACGAACACAGGCCACTCGATTCACAACATTACCCTAACCCTAACCCTACCCCTCACACCAGATACTGACTGGTTTTCGGACCGCCCCCAGACCCCCCCAATAAAGCAAAAATGCACGTTTCAGAGTGGCCTTTTATTGTGGCCATTCTAAGGCACACCTGTGCAATAATCATGCTGTCTAATCAGCATCTTGATATGCCACACCTGTGAGGTGGGATGGATTATCTCGGCAAAGGAGAAGTGCTCACTATCACAGATTTTTTCAGATTTGTGAACAATATTTGAGAGAAATTGTTATTTTGTGTATATAGAAAATGTTTTAGATCTTTGAGTTCATCTCATGAAAAATGGGAGCAAAAACAAAAGTGTTGCGTTTATATTTTTGTTCAGTGTATCATCACTCCATGATAAGAACTCGCAACATTATAAACAAAAACAGACATCACAACACGTGGCACTAGGTAGCCAAAACGGCAATATGTCTTACCTTTGTCGTTGTCTGATCAAAAGTTGTCTTCAATGGCATTAAGGCGAGACACCCCAGGTGAATAGGGTACTTTTTTTAACTTAAAGGTATCAGCTAGAAATGTCTCCAGTTAATTATTTACAATAAGGCAATTGTCTTTTGTATTACAAGTTTTCTGAAATAGCATGTTTAAATATGCAAATTAGCCATTATCTCATTAAATATGCACATATTTTAACACATTTCAGGAATCGAAATCTGAACTTTGGATATAGCCAGATTCAAAATTCTTGTTTCATTTTGTAGTCATATTAGTATCTAAGGCTTTTACAAAAGGGATATTGGATATCTCTTTTTATCACTCCATAAATCAGAAAATACTGTCAACAGCCCTAAAATATCCATTTTCGCCATGTTTTTAGGTATACAATGTTGTATAATTCAGGCTATGAATTATATATGAACAAACCCTTCTGTAAAAGCCTTCATAATATTGATAGGAATATAACTGGAAGGTTTGGTGTATGTACGTGCTACTGAAGTTGACATTTCAAACTCAGAGTAGGAGAAAAAACTCATTTTGAGAAAACGACCTTTAAAGATTGCAGTGAGGCGCTAGCTAAACCCTCCTGTTCTTTGGATGACAGCTTGCGCATCGACGCACTCCGTGAAGGTATTTCATGTTCAGGGTCAACCTTGCTTCGTGCAAGTGACAATTGTTGTCGTCTTCTCTGTGAATGTTTTTTTCGCCGTTCTTTTGGCATTTTGAGATTTTAATTTCTAGCTGAAAGCTAACCAGGAAGTGTTTTAGCACACCACGTGACGCATCTGAACGAATCACGTTGTCAGAAATTGACACCAGCCAATGAGATTTTGTTTCTTGGTTTAAGACCCCCTTGTGCTTTCACAATTGGTTGCTGATACAAAGGAAATGACCATATTTGGATCCGATGAGATTGTGCAGGAGAGACACAGCTTTCCAGCGATACCTCTGTTGACATGGTGCACACTACTTTATGTTACGTTAGAATGCTAACTTTTGGTGAATTTAGGAGAAATCTACAGACGCAAATAGACAAACTATAGTAAAATAAACACTTAAATGTGTATTTTGTACATTTTCCTTCCAAAAGCCTGAAAGAAAACATGTTATGGAATCAAAATAGGACAAAATCTCAAAATTGACCAGTACTTGAAAAACGATGTTTTTGCCTGCCGTGTCTCGCCTTAAAACGATAAAAACGCTGCTGAAGGTTAATCCATAGGTTAATCCAATGTGTCTGTGTCACTTTGAAATGATTTCTGATAATCCATCAGCAATAAACCTACTTTTAAGTTTTCAGATTTCAGAGCGTGAGACAGGTTGCGAGTTGGGGAAACTGCGTGCGCATAGCCCCCACTTCACAATGGTAATATTGGTGTGTATGTAGAAATTCCCCTTCGATTTTATTGGCACTAACGGTTAAAAAGAGATGTCAATCATCAAAATCGACCAATGGGTTCCAGAGATACAAGCGGCCGAGATGGGTTTTCTCCGCAGGGTGGCTGGTGTCTCCCTTAGGGATAAGGTGAGAAGTTCGGTCATCAGGGAGGGACTCGGAGTTGAGCCGCTCCTCCTTCGCGTCGAAAGGAGCCAGTTGAGGTGTTTCGGGCACCTAGTTAGGATGCCACCTGGGCGCCTCCCTAGGGAGGTGTTCCAGGCACGTCCAGCTGGGAAGAGACCAATGGGTAGACCTAGGACCAGGTGGAGGGATTATATCTCTTCGCTGGCCTGGGAGCGCCTTGGGATCCCCCAGTCAGAGCTGGTTGATGTCGCCAGGGAAAAGAAAGTTTGGGGCTCTCTGCTGGAACTGCTACCCCCGCAACCCGACCACGGATAAGCGGGAGAAGATGGATGGATGGATGGGTTCCAGAGAAACGGCAAAAACGCCCATTTCCACCCAAATGACCCCAGAGGTGGAGTTTTTTTTGCTAAACCTCTCTAAAAAGGTCACATGTCACTTGTTTTGCATCAATATTGATACAGGGTACTTATTATATGTTGTACTTTGGATTCCTAAAGCTTTTAGTCTACCATCCCATCATTCAAGGGTGGTTTTCACTATAAGTAAAAAATTATTTCTGGACGGACTCTATAATTTACAGCTTTTTACTATGTTCAATCTGAATTTGAAAAAACATCTATATTGATTCTGACTTTAAAATATATAATACATTGATGTGTGCTTGGATTGTAAAATACAGAAGGCTAAAAGAGAATATTGATAAGTTTTGATAAGTCACTTTGGATAAGAGCGTCAGTTAACTTATATGTAATGTAATGTATTGTCAATGATTGTCTATACTTTAAAAATGTAATACAAATATAAATAAAAAATGAAATGAAACCAAGGGAATACATTTACCATACCAATATACCAGTGTGTCTCAATCTTAAAATCTTTGTTTTGGAAAATGGCCAACAGTAATTTCCTTTAGAACCAACAGTATGGTACTTTTCAATGTAAAAAAATACTCACAAAGCCAGAGATGAGGCAGGCTCGTTTGATGAAGGGGCTGCAGACATAGCGGAGGTCCCTGATTCTGGAGCCCGACAGCTGACTGCAGGACACACAGAGCAGGTCAGTCAGACTTTATCAGGGCATCATTGGGCAACATTCAATAATGACCTTTCAGCATATAAGTGTGCAGGTTTCTTCAGATGCCAAATAGAGTGGCGCATATCATACCGGAAAAGTTGCTGTTTGATCATTGGCAACATCTGCACTGAAACATGGCAACTCCCCAAAAAAAGAAAGACAGACGTATGAAAGAGAGGTCAAACCTAATGATAGAGACAGAGAGAGACAGAATATGTTTGAAATGTGTCTGATGTAAATCTGTTAAACCTTTATGTTAAAATAAATGTATCTATATGAGTTGTTGTGTCTCTTGTTGTATTGATTTCGGCTGCAGAGTTAAATTACTTCAGTTACTTGAAAATCACATGAGGCAATCAGCTGCAAAGGCTCATCACCTCTGGTCTTGTTGTATGCCTCTCAAATATGACACTGCATAGTATTTATAAGAATTTGATTTGAAATAATTGAAAAAACTAAAAACACCGTACCAGCCTACATGAATGTACTTCCATGACATAAAGAGATGTATCAAATATGTACAGAATGTAAATAGAAAGGCCATATTGAATGACTGTTACAAAGCTCTTTTAACCTGTTAAGTGCTGAGCCTGTTTTTCAGGTCTCAGGCTCAAAAAATGACATGCCTAGAACAAATTACTATAACTTCACTTCTAAAAAGGGTAAATTAAGAATCTTTTTTCTCAAAACAATGATACATTTGTGAGTTGGATGTAGAAGAATCAGAATCAATATATATTTTTTTTATTTTAAAGTAAATTCAGATTGAAAAAAACATTACTTATAGTGAAAACCACCCTTGAATGATGTGATAGTAGACTAAAAGCTTTAGGAATCCAAACTATAACATATAATAAGTACCCTGTATCAAGATTGATGCAAAACAAGTTAAATGTGACCTTTTTAGAGAGATTTAGAAAAGACATCTCTTTTTAACCGTTAGAGCCAATAGAATCGAGGAGAGGTTCCTAAAATCCATCTAAAGAGTGATGCGCAGCCAGAATGCCCAAAACCGGAAGCTGTCATACAGTCTCGTAGCTATCATAATAGCTATATATGAAAACTCAGTTTTTGCCATAAATATGACGATGGATTATCAGTAATCATTACAAAGTGACACAGACACATTGGATTAACCTATGGATTAAACTTCAGCAGCGTTATCATCGTTTTAATGCCATTGAACACAACTTTTGATCAGAACAACAGCAAAGGTAAGACAATGTCCCGTTTTTGCTCCGTAAAGCTCTGTGTTGTGATGTATGTGTTTGCTTCCCCTGTCGCGAGTTTTGATCGCTCAGTGATGATACGTATACCCCTATAATCTGTGGAATCTCAGTTTGCTAATCGATATCTTGTTTGTGCAGAACTGATATGTAATAAGGGTATTTATACCTAGAGTTCTGTGCTAAGTGTGTTAGCATTTTTTCGCTCAGGGCTCATTTAAACGCTTCTTGTGAGACTTGTGTTTTGTTTCGGTAAATATTGTTCGTATCGTCAGTTAGCTGAGTTTCTTTCCGTTAAGTGGGTAATCCAATTCTCGGCAGAAGCCATGCTACAAGATAAAAAAAAGTTATATAATTATAAAGCATTTCTTAAAAATGTACCCACTCAATGAACTATGACAGTAATCAAAAACGGAAAGCAATGAGCCTGTTTGCTTACTGGAGGAAGGGTCTGCGGCACAGCACCAGGGCGTCGTAGAGCACGCACACGGCGAACACCGTGATGCCCGTCTCCTTCACCAGCATGGCCCCGGTGCCCAGGAACAAACTGGCCAGCAGAAACCATGCCGACACCGTGGGGGGCAGTGAGCCCTCACACACACAAACACCGACACTCCTGCAAGCCAGAGAGAAAGATTCATCATTTTAAATGAAAGACAAATGTCCACTAGTTTGTTAACAACAACTGGTCGAAAGGACAAGATATTTACTTTTTTCTGTGAGAAAGACTTAAAAAAAAGTTCAATAAAAACATTAAAAGTTGATGTGTTTAATATTCTTGATTGCCTTTTTAAGCGTGTGGGAATGCTCCGGTTTTGGGACAAAATTAACATGGGATCACTCCGGTCATTGTACGTACTTCGTCTCACTGGAATATTAACGGTCAGATTGAATACAACATCGACCCAATTTCTCTGGTCAATGACGGGAGAGTTTTGAAAGTGACAAAACACTGTTCCACACATTTAAAAACACTTAAACAATTAAATAATGTTTACCCAGGATTCAGGCACCTTCCCTGGCTTGTAAAATGCGGTGATGCGCCCTGGAGGTATCATACTATTTAAAACATGTATACCCAGGATTCAATCACTTTTCATGACTTGTAAAGTGCTGTGGAGCAGCCTGTTCTCTGGGTAAACTCTCTTTGCATTGTAATCACTATTTCTGCTATCACTATCACCACTTTTCCCCACGTTTCAAACCCTTATTCCTGGGTAGAAAAGCCATGTGCTGCATGGAACTCTCTGGGTCCACTCTGCCTCTATTCACACCACTTTTCCCCACGTTTCAAACACTTATTTCTGGGTAGAAAAGCCATGTTCTAACTGGCACTGCTTCTAACAATACTTTAGCCCACATCAGAGCCCTGTTCCCATCGAGGGGGGTGATGTGCTCTGGGTCTACTGGTGTCTGGGTGTGTGGGTCTCTGGGTCTCTGTGGGTCTCAGACCCTGCTAACAGCAGTGACCCAGCTGCCAGCATTATGAACAGATTGATCAGTTTCTAACAATACTTTAGCCCACATCAGAGCCCTGTTCCCTGGGTAATCGAGGGGAGGTGATGTGCCCTGGGTCTCTGTGGGTCTCTGTGAGTCTCAGACCCTGCTTCTCCGGGGTGCTGGAGTCATTTTCAGGCTCCTCTCCACAGCTGTCCCCCTAAAAATGAATTATAAATCATTATGTTTGCATTTAAATGATTTATGTTATCATTAATATGGTTCCCTAATACAATGCACATAGTCTAGAGCTCACTGGGGTCCTGCATATGCTTTAATCAGGCGTTTTAACACTTTTTCCCATGAAAATGATTTTTAATCACTATCATGGGGCTATATAAATCAAATTCCGGGTAATTCGGAGCACAATTGTACCTTTTACTATTTAAATGTATTTTTATTATATATTTATTGACATTTCTGGGTGACTTTGTCAGTTTATGGAGCTTAGCCCACAAATCCTGGAGGTTCCAGGCCAAATTTGGGTGCTCATAGGCGGCCTGGCATGTGCACCCACCCGTAGAAAGAAGAAAGAAGTAAAGAAAACGGTCAATTATATCTTAAATTAGTGTGTGCCAACGGAGAAGGGGCTCAAAAAAGCTCAACCTGTTGGCGCTTCGGGTCGAAGCCCCGGACATTTTTCCACTTCTCCATTGCAACTTACAACGGAGTAGGGAAACCAAGCGTCCCCTTCTCCATCAAAAAAATGCATTCATCCATTTCAGACTACTGTCTGCACGAAATTGGAAACCCGGTTTTTGAGAGGACTCAGAAAAAAAAACGGGTTTCTGATTTCATGGAGGAATGTATGTGCACTATGGCTCGGATATATTTGTTGCCTGGAGACTTCTCTAACTTCTGGTCACTTTCCAAACAGTCTTAAGGAGGCAAGAGTAAACCCTCTCCTAAAGAAACCCACTCTCAACCCGTCTGATGTTATAAACTACAGGCCTGTCTCTCTCCTCCCGTTCCTTTCTAAAACACTTGAACGCACTGTCTTTAAACAACTCTCCTGTTATCTCCATCAGAACAACCTTCTGGATCCGCACCAGTCTGGTTTCAAGGCAAGTCACTCAACAGAAACTGCCCTCCTCGCTGTCTCTGAGGAACTGCACACGGCTAAAGCAGCCTCCCTCTCCTCTGTCATCATCCTTCTGGACCTGTCTGCTGCATTCGACACGGTGAATCATCAGATCCTGCTTCGCACTCTCCAAGAACTTGGAGTTTCAGGCTCTGCACTTTCCCTCCTCACCTCATACCTCAAAGACCGTACCTAAAGGGTAACTTGGAGAGGGTCAGAGTCCGACCCTTGTCAATTAACTACAGGGGTCCCTCAGGGCTCTGTTCTTGGTCCCCTCCTCTTCTCCTTGTAAACAAACTCGCTCGGATCTGTCATTAGCCTGCATGGTTTTTCATACCACTGCTACGCTGACGACACCCAATTAATTCTGTCCTTTCCCCACTCAGAGACCCAGGTCGTCGCATTATAGCGGACATCTCTCAGTGGATGTCTGCTCACCACCTCAAGCTCAACCTTGACAAGACTGAACTGCTTTTCCTTCCAGGAAAAGATTGTCCCACTCTTGACCTAACAATCAACATCGGCACCTCTGTTGTTTCCCCGACTCAGACTGCAAGAAATCTGGGTGTTATCCTAGATAACAAACTGTCCTTCACTGCAAACATCACTGCTACAACCCGCTGCTGCAGATACTCGCTTTACAACATCAGGAGGATACGTCCCCACCTGACCCAGAAAGCGACGCAGGTTCTGGCCCAGGCTCTCGTCATCTCACGCCTAGACTACTGCAACTCCCTCCTGGCTGGTCTACCTGCATGTGCCATCCGACCTCTGCAGCTCATCCAGAATGCAGCGGCTCGTCTGGTCTTCAACCTTCCTACATTTTCCCACACCACTCCGCTCCTCCGCTCCCTTCACTGGCTTCCGGTAACTGCTAGAATCCACTTCAAGACAATGATACTTGCGTACCATGCTGCGAATGGATCTGGCCCTTCCTACATCCAGGACATGGTCAAACTGTACACCCCAGCACGTGCACTCCGCTCTGCATCAGCCAAACAGCTCGCTACACCCGCACTGCGAGGGGGACCCACGTTTCCATCAGCAAAAACACGTGGGTTTGCTATCCTGGCTCCAAAATGGTGGAATGAGCTCCCCATTGAAATCAGGACAGCAGATAGCTTGCACATTTTCCGGGGGAGACTGAAAACTCATCTCTTTCGACTCCACTTCGATCGATAGAATTACTAACAAATAATTGCTAACAAAGCACTTATATACTAATAAAGGGCTGGCTTATCTAAAACCTGTTGAGTAGCACTTGAAATGTGTTAGCTCTATGAAACCTGATGTACTTATATGATTCTGTTTTCTTCAAGTTTGTATCTTGTTGGTCGAACGCATTTATTGTAAGTCGCTTTGGATAAAAGCGTCAGCTAAATGCAATGTAATGTAATGAGACCCCCCAGCCTGGTTTTTACCAAACTTTAAGTTTGCAAACCGGTCTCTGGATGAATGTAAGGGGAGTTTGAGAGGACTCTACCCGCATTATGAGACACTATTTTCGGATACATTTTCTCACTTTGACCCCTTTTCTATGGATCTCCAAAAAGTTAACTCAGACTTTTTCTGACTGTGGAGGAATGCAAGGGGAGTTTGAGGGGACTCTACCCGCATTATGAGACACTATTTTCGGATACTTTTTTTCATTTTCACCCCTTTTTTACGGTTCTCCAAAAAGTGAACTCAGACTTTTTCTGACTGTGGAGGAATGCAAGGGGAGTTGACAGGGGACTCTTGCGGGCTCATGATGCAATATTTTCATTTTCAGCCCTTTTCCATGGATTAATTTAAACTTATAATTTTTACATTTTGGTCAATTGGACCCAGTTCTGACAACCGTATTGCCTGGAGGATAGGACTGAGAGATGACAGACTCTGGCCGCCTCACAAGTCACTATTGTCGGACACTTTCTTTGCTTTACCCCGGTTCTATCACTCTTTCCTTCTTTTGACCATAAAACGTGTTTCCTGCTGGGGTACTGCCTGGTTCGGGGGTACTGCCTGGTTCGGGGGCACCCCAAACCCTCTCATGGTCGGGCACCATGAATTGATGGATCGGACCCAATGTTGCCATCACCAGCCCCGCGTTGTTGCGGAGGTGGGACCATTTAACCCGGTGGTAACCCAAGTCCTCCCTTGGTCCGTGTACCATGAATTGAAGCATCGGACCCATTGTTGCAATCACCGGTTACGCTAACGCATATAAACGGAGAAACAGAAAATAATTTAAATACAATTCATTGTCTCTGTTTTAGTAAGGATGTCGTCCGAATGCCCGGTGTGCAGACTCTTCTATATGGCGTTGAACAAGCACCTTAAGCACAAACATGCAGTGCGGAACTTGGAGGAAAGAGGCATCATTCTTAAAATGGCCAGTGGCAGAATAAATGTTCGGACCAAACCCTGTCCCATCACAGGGTGTTCGTATGCTGGGAATAAACTGGACCGTCATGTGACTCATGGCCACCCTGAGTTATCCCGAGATGAGGCACATCAGGTCATGGCAAGGCTGAAGCATAATGTGGCCCTGCAGTTGCTCCATGACCTCCGAGAGACTAATCCCATCATTGGAATGGCTACATCATTGGATATAAAAAATGAGGAGGAATACCCGGTGCACCCTCCACCCTTCTCCCCACATACCGAGTGTGACGAAGAAGACTGCAGGCAGGTGATGCTGGAACATGTGGCATTGAGGGCTCAGAAGGATGCCCTCATTGATGAGGTGAAGACCCTGCGCTCCAAGCTGAAAAAGGAGCTAAAACCCAGGAAGCAGAGTGTCACTGCTGCTGTGCTTGAGGAAGAGGAAGAATGTATACGATTTAAGGGCCTGGCAATCTCGAGTACCTCCGGCATAAACACAGTAGCCTCCGGCAGCAATACCCCTCTCAAGACCCCGGTCAAGACTGTCATGCATTCACCAGAAGCCTCCGGCAGCAATACCCCTCTCAAGACTGTCATGCGGTCCCCAGAAGCCTCCGGCAGCAATACCCCTCTCAAGGCACCGGTCAAGACTGTCATGCGGTCCCCAGAAGCCTCAGGCAGCAATACCCCTCTCAAGGCCCTGGTCAAGACTGTCAAGCCTCCGGTAGTGAGACCCATGTATGCCAGAAGACCCGTGTGTCTGTCTACAATAAGCTGAAAGCTAATCTGGCTAAGGACTGGCCCTCTCCCCCAAATCACTGGTCCATTGGGAAGGGACGGGGGAATACCATGCGTGAAATCACGTTGCCTAAAAGCATGGAGACGTACATTCAGACATACAGGGATCATTGTGAGGGTGTCGCACCGACAGTAAAACGGAAAGAAAATTGTCTGTCCAAGGTCAGCCGGATAAAGAACTTCCTCGTATTCATGGCCCATGATGTTAACCGGCTGTCAGACTGGCTGTCCCTAAAAGACATGAAGAGGGTCCGCGGCTGGAGCGAGTATATTTCAAAGTCGGGCCGGGCAGTCACAACATCGCTGTTGTTCCTGAAGAATGTGAACCATTTCCTGAGGTATTTGTCTGAGTCGAAGCTCCGGGGGTGCAGGCTCACCCAGTCTGATATGACCAACATCATCAGAGAGGTGATAGCCAACATGAACGACTTGAAAAAGGCTGTCACTGTGCACCAGATTAAGGTGAAGAGGAACAAGCTGGATCGTCTGCCGTGCCAGGCGGAGCTTCTCGCCGCCATGTTGCCCGCTGAGAAGTGCATCCCTGATCTCCTTGACCTGATGACCAGCAAGCCGACCTCAATCACCCAGTACCTGCTATATGGCTATCTAACCCTCCATTGGAGCCTCCTGTATGGCCACCGTCCGGGGGTGTACGCAAACATGACCAATGCTGAGGTCTTTGAGGCGGACAGAAGGGGCACTGCTGAAGGCTACATCATCCACGTGCAGGATCACAAGACTGCCAAGACATTTGGCGAAGCACAGCTGGTGCTTACAGTAAAGGAGTTTAGCTGGGTCATGCGGTGGATGGGGATAAAGGAGGGCTTGTCGGGTCCTCAGAATGAATTCTTGCTTTTCACAACGGGGACGTATGCCTCCAAGAACCTGAACGCTCACTTGAAGAGGGCTTGGGCTGACCTTCACAATCCTGCGCACTGCCCTGGCTGACAATATCAAGCATCACCAAGATCCAGAAAGCAGGTTGATTCTCGCCAGGTTTATGTGTCACGATGTAAGCACTGCTGACCGGTTCTACGCGAATACGCCTGGAATAAAGGAGGGAGTGAAAATCCGCTCCATGTTCAGGGCGGCAGCAGCTGCAGCAGCATCATCAGAAGGAGGTCTACGGCCGTCAGATACCTCCGAAGAGGGCTCAGGGGCTGAGAGCAGTGATACCTCTTCTTCAGGGCCGGTTGACACTCCTGAGGAGGGGGCAGGGGTCGTGGACTCAACCTGTTTTCCCCGGTGCACCGTACAAGTTAGACGGCTAATATGGTCCCCGGCTCCCCACTAATCATGTTTTTATTATGTCTACTGTGTATACTGTTTTTGTAAAAATCATGTGATAATTAAATAAATAATAAAACATGAATATAACCTTGAAGGTTCCCAGGGGCAGATACAGTGCCAGGTACTATTTAAACAATGTTTACCCAGGATTCAGACACCTTTCCAGGCTTGTAAAATGCGGTGATGCGCCCTGGAGGTATCAGACTATTCTAAACAACTTTTCCCCGCCTTTCAAAGACTTATTCCTGGGTTTTAGCCTGTCATTTTTCAGGATATCATTTAACATTGACCCTCTCCTGAAAATGCACATATTCTGTGCCCCCTTGGTCGATTTTGACGAATGAAATCTCTAGATCTCGCTAGAGCCAATGGAATCGAGGGGAGAGTGACGCGTAGCCAAAACCGGAAGCTGCATACACTCTGGTGGCTACCATTAGCAACTAACTTTTTTGCTCTGATTTTTAAATAAAAATGGAATTATGGATTATAGATAATTGCTTCAAAGCCACAGATACATTATTAACCTATGGATCAACCGATTCAGCCGCGTTTCTCGTTTTAATACCATTGAACACGTCTTTTGATCAGATTGACAGCTACGGTGAGACGATCTCCTGTAAAAACTCCGTAAAGGTACGTGTTGTGATGTCTGTGTTTTCTTCGCCTGTCGCGAGATCGGATCGCTTAGTGATGATACTATACTTAAATAATCTGTGGAGTCTCAGCTTTAATCGGATATATTGTATGTGCAGTTTCGATAAGTAATAAGGGTATCTTTATTTTGAATTCTGTGCTAAAGTTCGTTAGCATTTTTTCGCTTGGTGCTAATTCAGAGGCTTGGTATTACCCTTGTGTTTTGTTTTGGTAAAAATGGTTCATATCTTCAGTTAGCTGAGATTCTTCCCATTAATCTGGTGCTACACATTAATAGTTTCATAAATGTTAAGAAGCCCTGAGACACAGTCTCGAAAAAAAACTGTGGGGGGGGGTCCACTGGGGGGACCGCCGTGCTTAAGAGGTTAACCAGAGCTGTCTCTGTGCTATGATGTGTTCTAAAGCCAGACTGAAAATCTTCAAATAAATCATTGTTTTTTAAGTAATCACACAACTGTTTTGCGACCGCTTTCTCAAGAATGTTTGAGAGGAATGGAAGATTAGAAATAGGTCTATAGTTGGCTAGAACCTCTGGATCGAGGTTGTGCTTTGTAAGAAGACATTTTATCACTGCTACTTTGAATGATTGTGGAACATAGCCTGATAATAAAGACATATTCATAATATTTAATAAAGAAGTGCTAATTAATGGAAATACTTCCTTTAACAGCTTAGTTGGAATTGGGTCTAAAATACACATTGATGGTTTAGAAGAGAGAATCATTGAATTTAATTGTTCAAGGTTTATGGCTGAAAAGCATTCTAGTTTACTATCTAGTGTAATATTAGAACTTACGTTTCCGGGAGCTGTTGATAACACTATACTGGTCAAAGGCAAGAGGTCATTAATTTTGTTTCTAAGAGTAACAATTTTATCGTTAAAAAAGCACATAAAATCATTACTACTGAGTGCTATGGTATAGCATAGCATATATCTATAAAACTATTTCAAACGACAGTAGCTTCATTTACCAAACTCTACCAGCAAACAACTAAATGAGTCATAAGTTATTCAACATTGCACATGCAGGGGGTGATAAATGTTTTTAACTGGCAGACAATGTTATATTACCATCCTGTGTGATCATAGTAGCGTGCGTGTGTGTGCGTGGCGTGCATGTTCTGAGGCTGCTAAAGTTATCTTACCTGATGTAGGAGAGGAACGTCAGCAAGAACAGGAGACATGCTAAGACATCAGCCCTGCCGACGATACCAGACACCTGCAGCACACAAGGGTAAGGTTTTTATTAAAATCAACTACATTTGAGTGTACATGTGAGACCATCGAATAAACTCTACGGCAGAGTTAAAGTTACTCTTTTCTTGGAGTTGTTCTTTAACCTTTTTCAGGAGTTAAATCTGAACAATTAACACTACTCCCATGTAGAGTAAAATGAAACTACCACTTTAGAGTTCATTTGAATGTGAACTCTATAATAGTGTTAACGGTTAACACTTGAAAGCATGTTTATTTAACACTTATGGAGTTAAAATAAAAAGAAATAAAATGACTACAAAACAACATATTGATTCATACAAATGTTTAGCTTTTATTTGTAAAATCCAGCGAACAGCACATTTAGAGCAGTTGTGACATTTCAAATGAAACTAAACAATTAAATAAAAAAAGAAAGAAATGTACACCAAAGTGTCAAGTATTGCATAAACTCAGTGCATTAAGTGCAAACATTATAGACAAATGTGCTCACTACACGAAATAAAGCATTACAGAACTGCTCTGTATGAGGTAGACTAAATACTTTAAACCTGTAATTTAAGTACATATACATGTACAAAATAAGAAAGGAAACATTCCAATAAGCCATCAATGTTGGCAAATTAAAACTCTCTGACACAACATCAAAATGTGAATCACACCCATATGACATTTGGGAATCAAAAGGTTTGAAATGTCTTAATCCTTCTCTTTCTAGGACCAGTATCTTCCTGGGGATTTTTTCACTTATTTGGAAAGCATGAAAATGGTCATGGAAACACGTTTCATACTCAACCAAAACAAAAATAACTTTTCCATCGTGAAGAATGATACAGGTGATTTTGCTGAACACTGGCATGTTTTCCTCAGTGCTTGTACAAACAAAGAGGCCAACTCGACATTCAACTCCACAACACTTTACGCAGCTTGTGAGGTTGACAGTGGCTTGTGAATCAATGATGAGAGGCAGATATATCTTCTGCTTATTCTTGTGTTTCAAGTACACACATTTTGACTGGACCAGACTCAACTGGTTTTAAAGTCAAACATTTCCAATGATAAGCTAATGCAAACTGGTGATTTTTCGCAAGGGATACTGTCAAATTCTTGAAGTTCTTTACACAGTCTTTTAAAAATGTGTGTTTCGCTTAAAATCTCATAGTCCAGATATGAATGAGTGGCCCAATTTTTCGAGTGCACCTCAGATAGTGGACCATGAAATTATGTTTTGGAATCAGGTTTGAAGGTTACAGTTCTTTAAAAAGTCAGTGATGTTCAATGATAAGGTGCTTTAAATACACAGTCCTCTCTTCGGTGATAGAGTATGAGAACACAATGTTTATAATGTTCAGCAACAAGAGCAATAAGTGCCAGTGCAAGTCATCCTCTGGTACCAAGTCATCAAATATCAGAGTTATGTTTGTGATCAAACACAGTGTTTGTGATGCATTTACCCCTATTCCATGAACTTTAAAGTCCAACTGACATCACATCTAGTCCTCCCTATTTGTAATGAAAAATAATGTAAATGTGTTTTACTTAGTGAAAATATCAGAAATGATCCCTTTTATCAGCAAGCTGCTGAGAATTAAGAACGTATTACCAGGGCAGTATATAACTGGTACGCAGGTGCGCGGCAAACATCTGAAATGTGTAATTTCACTTGTGTCACTAAGGATCCACTGTTGAATTCACCACATATTATATATTTTAGAAACCTGAAGGCATTTTAAGATTTGTATGCAAGTATTATCCCAAAAACTCAGTAGCAGGACCGTACAACGGAATTGTGCCAAAAATACGCCAACTGGCTGCGGAGCGAGAATCCCCTGTGCACATTCTGTGCCCCGCGCACACACTGGGAAATCAGCTCGCAGTTCGCAGTGCTCCACTAGCATTTCACCATTTTGCTGCTCGATGGTAAGACCTGGGGATCACAATTAACATCAATGATCCATATGGCCCATTAATAACGAATCACACATTTTGCAGTTGCAATGTACCAAAACTTGAATTTACCGAAATCACAACTTGCACCATGAGCTACTTTGTATTTTATTATGAACATTTACTATAACCCTGCCTACCACAAGGTGTGATTGTCACGAATTCTGTCAGGTTGGAGCAGTCACCAAATTCTGTCAGGTTGGAGCAGTCGTCCATGTTCTTGGATGATTCTGCAAGTGGGAGGTCTGAAATGCACATGATACATAGTTTACTGGGGAGAGTGAACATACTAAATTCTGTGATTGGTGTTTGTTATTGGCTAGTACAGCATATCAAACAACCTGTCTCTTACAGATAGAAAATACAAATCTCTCAAAGCATTTCTGCAACAAAACAAAACCCAGAAATATCAACTTACCATAATCAGTGTAGATGACAAAACATATGTCTTGGACTGTTGCAAGTTCAGGAAAGATATCCTCATCCACCTCTATGCCTTGCTCATCGGTGACTTTCAGCACTTTATTTTCTGGTATGAGAAACTTGCACTGAAGCATAACAATAAACAATTAACAAAACGACTTTTACTACCCCTTCAATGACTTTGAACAACACAGACAGAACTTACCTGCAAGTATGAAGTTTGAGAAGCTGACTTCGTCCAGTTTAACACATTTGTTTGTCCCTCCACGTTTTACCTTTAGCAACATCTTGACCACTTAACCTGTTCAACCCGGAGGCCCGAGGGGGGTGTGGGGTTTTTTTTGTTCACGAAACTGTGTCTCAGGGCTTCTTAACATTTAAAAACCTATTAATGTGTCATACCCACTTAACGGGAAGAAACTCAGCTAACTGACGATACGAACCATTTTTACCGAAACAAAAACACAAGTCTCACAAGAATGAGCCCTGAGCGAAAAAATGCTAACACACTTAGAACTCTAGGTATAGATACCCTTATTACATAACGGATCTGCACAAACAAGATATCGATTAGCAAGCTGAGATTCCACAGATTCTAGGGGTATAAGTATCATCACTAAGCGATCTGAACTCGCGACTGGGGAAGCAAACACAGACATCACAACACAGACCTTTACGGAGCAAAAAAGGGACATTGTCTTACCGTTGCTGTTGTTCTGATCAAAAATTGTGTTCAATGGCATTAAAACGATAAAATCGCTGCTGAAGGTTAATCCATAGGTTAATCCAATGTGTCACTTTGTAATGATTACTGATAATTAGGGCTGTCAAGTTAACGCGTTAATAACGCAAAAAAAAATTAACGCCACTAATTATTTTAACGCGATTAACGCATGTGTATTTTTTTTCCTCAGCCGCCCCGTAGTTTCAGAGCGCATCGAGTTTAAAATACCGTCTACAAGCTGATGCTGACAGCCCCGCTCCTGCTGCCCGCTTGTGGCAGACCACACTTCCACGCTCACCGGCAGGCACCGACTGGCTATTGGGAGGACCGGGAGGGTGTGTGTATGTGTGGCCCGAGCGAGCGAGAGAGAGACCTTACGTGCATTGTTGCTGTTAGCATCTGGTGCTAGCTAGCTGCGCTAACGGATATACGGAGCTGTTTAAATGAAAACAGAGGAGCGACATTTCGCCACAACTGCGCCGAGCACTTGACTTTATGCAGGCAGCCAGACAGTGTACGAAAAGTCAGCACACTCAGCACGGATAGTGCGCGCAACATGATTGCAGCGTCCAGGCAGCTCCCGTTGGAGCATATGCCTTGAGTTGCACATAGCTGCAACACACACACACACACACACACACACACACACACACACACACACACACACACACACACACACACACACACACACACACACACACACACACACACACACACACACACACACACACACACACACACACACACACACACACACACACACACACACACACACACACACACACACACACACACACACACACACACACACACACACACACACACACACACACACACACACACACACACACACACACACACACACACACACACACACCACACACACACACACACACACACACACACACACACACACACACACACACACACACACACACACACACACACACACACACACACACACACACACACACACACACACACACCAGTTGTATTGTATTATTGAATGAGAGAGGTTCCAGGTTGAATTGAGGCGAATATTTGTAATGTTCAGAGGTTGTTTTGTTTAATATTCATGAGAATATTTGTCATTGTTCAAATGATAATAAACATTAGCATAAAGCATATTTGTCCACTCATATGTTAATAAGAGTATTAAAAACTTGAAAAATATTCCTCTAAGGTACATTTAGAACAGATCAAAAATGTGCGATTAATTTGCGATTAATCGCAATTAACTATGGACAATCATGCGATTAATCGCGATTAAATATTTTAATCGATTGACAGCCCTACTGATAATCCATCGTCATATTTATGGCAACAAAAAAAAGTTTTCATATATAGCTATTATGATAGCTACGAGAGTGCTACAGCTTCCGATTTTGGGCATTCTGGCTGCGCATCACTCTATTCACCAATGGGTAATGTTTAGATGGATTTCAGGAACTTCCCCTCGATTCTATTGGCTCTAACGGTTCAAAAGAGACGTCAATCATCAAAATCGACTGATGGGTTCCAGAGATATGGAAAATCCACCCAAATGACCCCAGAAGTGTTTTTCTTTTTTCTAAATCTCTCTAAAAAGGTCAGATTTAACTTGTTTTGCATCAATCTTGATACAAGGTACTTATATATGTTATAGTTTGGATTCCTAAAGCTTTTGGTTTACTATCCCATCATTCAAGGGTGGTTTGCACTTTAAGTAATGTTTTTTTTTGGACGGACACTCTGAATTTACTGTAAAGAAATAAACAATCTATATTGATTCTTGACTTTTCTACATCCAACTCACAGGTTTATCATTGCTTTGAGAAAAAAGATTATTAATGTAACCCTTTTAGAAGGGAAGATATGGTCATTTGTTCTGGGAATGTCATTTTCGAGCCTGAGACCTGAAAAACAGGCTCAGGGCTTAACAGGCTAAGGGGAGATAAATTGCTTATACTTTAGCAACACTGTGCTGTCACTGTAACAAAAGTATTTTTGGTAGCCATGTGTTATTTTGGAATTACTCTGTAACAGGGCTCTGCAACCTTTCTGACATATGAATATTTAAAAAAAAAAATGTGATCAGTGTGCCTAAAAGATATGGACACAAGATGTGTGCAAACGTATTTAGTATCCTATCCATGTGAACATGATTTCAGTGGGGGGGGGGGGGGACCTAACATCCTCTCGGGGGGTCCGGGAGGATTTTTAATATTGAAGTTAAAAGCATCAATCTGGTGCACGTTGAGAGCAAAATGAGGAGATCTATGGATACCTCTCTCAACACCCAGATGAAACAGAACTGTAAACAGATTTTCTTTTTCTTTATAGATATTTTACAAATCACTCCCCTTTCAAACTGTATTCTTGTTTATTAATAACAACTTTTCTTTACTGTCATATAGTATTTTATACCTGTTTTTCATTTATTCTCTTATTTTTTTATAACTATATTGATCATATAAAAGGTGTGCCTCTACCTCGCTGAGCTGAGGTTATCACAACCTCTCAGTCTGTCAGGAGAGAGCTCTCTTCCACCTGGTTGTAGAAAAAGCTCCTTATATTCGTTAGCATAGCTAGCTAACCAGATGCAATAATATACACACACACACTACGCTCGTGCCACACACACAGCCGAGCTTGAGTGACACACAAAGACCCAGAAGTAGTTTTACTGTAATGTAGCATATTATGTTTTATGGGGTTATTGACAGTATGATCAGTATGTCAGATGAACAGATCACCACTGGGTTTACAACTAAAGATACAGTCACGCAAAAACTGCGCTGCGTTGCGTGCATGGCTTCCTTCTGCAGGTAACGGGTCCTGTCACTCTATGCTGCGATCCCCATGCCTGCTAGACCGGAGTTTTCACATTTCTCATTGTTATACAATACATATATATAGAAAACTCTCTTGGTGTTCAGATGAGGTTAAGGTGAACCTCTTTAGAGCTTATTGCACTCCTCTCTATACTGCCCCCTTGTGGGTCAAGTATAAGAAGGCGAGCCTCAAGAAGCTCCAGGTTGCATATAATGACTGTTTGCGTATACTGCTTAGAAAACCAAGGTGGTGCAGTGCAAGTGAAATGTTCTGTAACGCACGAGTCAACACGTTCCATGCTCTTTTGAGAAATCGAATGTACAAATTCATCTGTCGATTGAATGTTTCTCATAACTCTGTCATTATGCTGCTTTCAAATCCGTGTTTCAGTGCTGTACGATACCAGTCACCTCTGTGGAAACATTGGTATAACTGCCTTTTTTAATTTATATTTGAGTGTTGTATGTTTTTGTAATAATGGACCAAGAGTCTCTTTAAATAAAAGATGATGATGATGATACGCGTTACGTTTGTTTATACTTGTGGCTTTTGCTTGTTTGTGGAAGTAACTTTCTATTGTGTTCAAGAGGGGTCCCTAAGGGTTCAGCTCTTGAATGAACTCTGTTCTTGTCTCACTCTCTGGGCCAGTAGATCAAATCGGTGTATCATATACTCACAGCTTCGGTGTGGATGGGGTGCACAGCAAACAGAAGTGCTGTGACAAAGGCCAGGCGTGAGTCTTCAAACACGCAGCGCTCACACGTGTGCATGAGCAGGCAGGTTACAGCGCAGTGCAAACACACGTTGATGATGTGGAAGTAGAGAGGCGTCATGCCGCCCAGCAGGATGTTCAACCTGACAGACACAAAGATAGAAATCATCAGCACCGTTTGAGGAGGGAGCTGCATCTGAGTTGTATCAGACAGTGAGAATGTTTAAAATCAGCGATAAAGACAAATAATTCAGACTGATCGATTATTAGTACAACAGGCTTCTTTCTTTTTTCTCATTAACCTCAAACATATAAAAGACAAAAACGGTCAAACTTATCGAATACAATAGCTCAGCTTTATAGCTCTGTGGGTTACATTTCCTCGATGAAGTGATGTCTCATCACCCTGAACCATTTTCCGCACTGCAATGAATTACAAAAGAAAGAGCATCTTGCTTTGAGAGCGAGTTTAAGATTCCCAACACCAAATCACACCCTGTTTATCAACTTTACCTAATCATTCAGTGAAGAATAACAGTGAAATATTATATTTTCACAGGCTTCATCTAGAAATTGGTATTACATCAATTCCCTCTCCACACTTCAGAATATCAACCAGCTTATAATAGTTTAGAAAGAGTGAAGCATGATAATGGTTCAAGATCCAGATGTCATTCCATGATATTATATCTGATATGTATATGTATATTGTATTATTGAAAGAGAAGACATTTTTAATTCAAAAGGAAAGAATATTTGCACATTAACAGATTATGGATTTAAAATGGGAAAGTGGAAGAGGTCATTTTTGACAAACCATATCAGGCTTAAGTTTTTAACATATAACTTGCCAGTATGTACTACTATGTAGGGCTGCTCGATTATGGCAAAAATCATAATCACGATTATTTTTGGTCAATATTGATATCACGATTATTAAAAACTTTGAAAACATCCATTTATTGAACTTTAAAAAAAGAAATAATAATAATTCGAACAGTATGTTTTTCACAGTTGATTACCCTGAACTTTAAGTACAATTCAACTGAAAAACCAATTAAAATAATTATAAAATAAATAATACATTTATATCTACATTTAAATAAATAATAAATACCAATAAAGAAGATCAATAAATATTTTGGAGCGCACTTCCACAACCTACTGAACATATATAAATATTATAACTAATGTCACTCACAACCTGTAATGTTGAATTATACTGCTACACGTAGTACTCTTATTTTGGTAACCCCTTATCCGGAAACAGGAAGTAGCAAGCTAAGAAGCTCCAGCTTGACGAGGTTAGTGAAAGTTGACTGTACAATAGGGCTGCACGGTATTGAAAAAAACTGACATCGCGGTTTTCCCCCCCCCCCTGCGCTATATATATATTGCGTTTTTTTTAACCTGTTAAACCCCAAAGTCCCGGCGGGTACTTTACTTTTTTTTTTCACGACAGTGTCTCAGGGGATCGTAATATTTAAGAACCTATTAATGTGTTTAGATTAACGGAAATAATCTCAGCTAACTGACGATACAAACCATTTTATACCAAAACACAAGTCTCATAAGAAGCATCTAAATGACCCATGAGCGAAAAATGCTAACGCACTTTGACACAGAACTCAAGATAAAAGTACCCTTATTATTACTTATCGTAGCTGCACTTACAAGATATCCGATTAAAGCTGAGGTTCCACAGATTATTTAGGTATATAGTATCATCACTGAGTAGGGGTGTAACGGTTCACAGAAGTCACGGTTCGGTTCGTACCTCGGTTTGGAGGTCACGGTTCGGTACGGTTCGGTACAACAAGAAAAAGCAAAAAAAAGTCCCAAATGCATAATTCCAGGTTTGTTGTTATTTATGTTTGAACAGTAGTGCAAGTTTCAGTTTAAAAATAAAGAACTCTGACATTTTGAATTAACTAACTGTGTTAAACAGTTACAAACAAACCATACACAGTACACTCAGATGGCCAGATTATCTATAATGGCTGATGTCAAACAAAAAGGTTTCATCAAGCTGTAAAACTAAAAGGAATGTCTTGAAAATATGACATCATAAATAATAAGAAAGTGTTTCAAGAGCGCAAAGTCGTTGAAAAACATATGCCAAAAGCTTCCGTTATTTATTTTGGTCTCACGGCTCTCATGTCTCTTGGCTTCTTAAAAACAGCGGGGATAAGCTGCTGAACTGCTGTTGTCTTTTGCCGGGCTCCGGTGATTGGTAAATCTGGGTGATGCCTTCTGATATGAGTTAGCATGTTTGGCATGTGTTGCCATTAGCATACCGCACCGCTGTAGAACAACGGCGACACACCGTTCTCGTCCGATCCACCACTCGTCCGATCCACCACTCGCACACTTAATCGTTATTGTAGTCCACAGGGAACCCGAAATGTTCCACCCAGCTGATTTAAAAGAAGCAGGTGGGTTCTAGCTTCTGTGTGTTATCTGAAATCGCCATACTAACTTTTCTTCTTGTATTTTGTTCGTTTTGTTGTTGTGTTTCTTCTGGGTGGCTGCCAACAGCTTTTAGGCGCAATACCGCCCCCTGGATTATATATAGTGTAGTGGATACTGCCCTGAATGACAGACTTTTTTCCCACTCGTAAAAAAAAGGCGTATTCGTCGTGTGACTGCGTGTGCCGAACCGTGACGTCTGAACCGTGACGGTACGGGACGAATACGGATACCGTTACACCCCTATCACTGAGTGATCTGAACTCGGACAGGGGAAGCAAACAAAGACATCACAACACGTACCTTTACGTAGCTTCGAGGGGAGATGTCTCACCGTAGCTGTCAATCTGATCAAAAGACGTGTTCAATGGCATTAAAACGAGAAAGAAAAAACGCGGCTGAATCGGTTAATCCATAGGTTTTTAACGTCTCTGTATAAAAAAATGATTTAATTTACAATCCATAATTCCATTTTTATGTAAATATCGCAGAGCAAAAGTTAGCTGCTAATGGTAGCCACCAGAGTGGCTGCTGCTTCCGGTCTTGGCTATGCGGAAGTCTCTCACACACACATTACCAAATAAGGACTGTGTGATTTCCCCTCGATTCCATTGGCTCTGACGGTCAGAAAGAGTTGTCACATGTCAAAATCCAGCAAGGTGGGCCAGAGATATGGAAAATCCACCCAAATGGTCCCAAAAGAGGGTTTTTTTTGTGCTAAATCTGTCTAAAAAAGGTCAAATATCAGGGGAAGTTCTACACACACCAACACATGAACAAATAAGGAGTGAGAGTGACGACGCATAGCCAAAACCGGAAGCTGCATACCACCAAGGTGGCTACCATTAGCAGCTAACTTTTGTGATCCGATTTTTACATAAAAATGGAATTATGGATTATAAACAATTGCTTCAAAGCCACAGATACATTATCAACCTATGGATCAACCGATTCAGCCGCGTTTTTTCTGTCTCGTTTTAATGCCATTGAACACGTCTTTTGATCAGATTGACAGCTACGGTGAGACGATCTCCCGTAAAAGCTCCGTAAAAGGTACGTGTTGTGATGTCTGTGTTTGCTTCCCCTGTTGCGAGATCGGATCGCTTAGATACTATACTTAAATAATCTGTGGAGTCTCAGCTTTAATCGGATATATTGTATGTGCAGTTTCGATAAGTAATAAGTGTATCTTTATTTTGAATTCTGTGCTAAAGTGCGTTAGCATTAAAAAAATAAAATGAATAAAACCACACGTCCCTGCGGTGTGAATACCGCGCATGCGCATACCGCGGTTATCGCCATGACACGGTATATCGTTCAGCCCTACTGTACACTAGAGCTGACCGGAGAATAAAGACACGGCAACTAAAGCTTCCCTTGTAACGTGTTTATATGGATTTATTAAACAGACTGCAAGCATAGGCGGCGCGTGAGGCTCAGGTTTGGGAAGGCTAAATAACTTTTTTTACCTGACGCTGCCCGCCTCCGGCGTCTATAGAAAAGAGATCAACTCAGTGTGCGGAGTTTAAATCTCTCAAGTCATATTACAGGATAAAGGAAATACAGTTTAAACTTGACTCGAGTCAAATGTAATTAAAGTCAGATCCACTCGTGAAGACGGGGCAGTGATATCATAAAACTGTTACGCTTTCAAACACTCGGTAGTTATTTTTTAACCAGTTGTTCTGTATTCACCTTGCAGGTGCAACTATGTGGCTTGTATCCTGGATTATATGTTTAAGTCATCATGGATGTTTAAAGTTCATATTTGTCTAATATATTAGTTTACTTTTCATTAATGAAGTATGACGCTGCGCTGTCAGTACACTTGTCCCTGTTTGTGATTGGTCAAATGTAGCTAACCCCGCCTCTTTCACATGAACGCGCTCTCAGCTGGTGAGAGAAACCCTGGCTTGATTTACCGAGTTGATAACCAGCGTCGGAGGACCGCTTAGCGAGATCTCGTTTGTTAGTTTGTTGTTGTTAGTTTGTTTGTTACTCAAACATATCCAGGGTATGTTGAACTGGCTTCGTAGTACAGGGCACAGGTGGCTGCATAGCAGCGCTAATGTCAAAGACACAGACATTATACATTATATTTGTATTTTACCAGGATGCAGTGACACAAATATTTGGGAAGGCTTAGCCTTCCCTAGCCTACAGCACCCGCCGCCTCTGACTGCAAGTCAAAACACAACCTGGCCGAGAGGGCTTTTAGGGAGCGGCGAAAGTGCACACGCGGGCAGGATGTATAACGCAAGACGAATTGAGAGCATCATGGCGAAAGGGAATGCTGCAAAATAATCGTTTTATTTCGATTACGTTGTTTTCGTAATCGTTGCAAGCCAAAATCGTAATCGAGATTAAAATACGATTAATTGCACAGCCCTACCAGTATGGTGAGCCTACATGCAATTAACAAGACAGATATGTACTTAACATTAACACAACAAATAATGCACAACACTCATAGCCAGCATTTACATCTTTATTCCATTCCATGTGTCTCAGTGTATTATCGATATGAACCCCATTGTACTTATAGGAGCTGACCTGAGTTATGGGTACATTGACAATAACCACTGGCCTTACTGTAGGTCCCCCACATACCTTTTGGTCCCACACCATTTCTCAGTCTTCTACACATTTCGCCAAATATGTTGATTACTCTCTG